GTGACTTAAATTTTCATATTTACATAGGTCAGAATCATATAGTAATCACAAATTGGTTCTTACTGATTTATTCTCTGATCATTCTATTAGACATTTCTAAATTTTTGTGGGAATAAGCAATATAAAGTAAATTTGTTATGTGCCTTGGGGAGCAGGTTAGGATTGGGAGGGAAACTGGGGATGTTGGTGGAGAGAAGGTTACACTAGTGGTGTTGGAACACTAAATGCTTGAAACAATAATATCATGAACAGTTTTGTAAATCATGGTGTTTTTAATTAAAATTAATTAAAAAATTTTAAAAGAAATGATCGGACAGACCAGGAGATAGCACAACAGTCTGGGTGGATTCCTAGTGTGCACCGACCTGAACTGATTCCTGGCACCATGTAGCCCCCCCAGCATTGATTGATGTACTCCTGGACCCTTAGCACTGCTGTCATGGCTCCGGTGAACCTAATAGGACTGGGCCCAAGCAGCATGCATTTTGGGGCCCTTACATTGAACCATCGGACTGGCTCAGTGGTTCAGTGTACAGCCTAGAGGGCCCTCCAATTTTTCCTCCCCTCCAAAGGGAGGGGGAAAAAAAAGGTTGGATGACTTGTCTGGAATGCCACCATCAGTTAGTACTGAAACTAGGATTTGAACCCTGTGCTATCTCTTCTCACTTCTTTATCACTGTGATGTGCTGTAAAGTGCTAATTCTTATACACTAGATTAACTCAAGCCAAATTGTTGGTAATTGACAGTTTGTCATCTAGGACGGAAATTTCATATGGTTCAACCTAATGAGATGTACCTTATTTATCTCCAATCAATTTTAAACTGATTTCCAGAAACAGGAAACAATAATGAATAAGCCTGTTGTTTGGGGGAAACTGTAGTTGCATTAAGAAGTCTGTTTTTTGCTTTTTAAGCGAAAGAGCTCTATGATTTGGGCCAGGGAGGTGACTCAAAGGGTCGGAGTGCGGGCACTGCACATGCTCTAGGTTTGTTCCCTAGCACTGCATGACCCCGGAGTATGGCAGCAAAACATAACAAAACTCGCTAAATGTCAGAAAAAGCTCTATAAACTCGTTAAATTTATGTAAAACTTTTATTTTTCAAACATTTGTTTCTTTCATAAACTGAAAATGTCTAATGATGGGATTGGGGGACGGCCTTAGGCATATATAGTACTTGGGGCTATTCCCTACTTTGTGTTTGGGGTCATTTCTGAGGATGCCCAGGGTAGCAGGCAGTGCTGGGAATGGAATCTGGACTCCCCTGTGCAAGGTGTTTGGCTCTTTAAGCTATCTCTGAGCCCAGGATGTCTAATTTAAAAAAATTTTTTTTAACTTTTTAAAAATTGAGGACACTTTAGTTTACATCATTCTATATGTTTTTAAAATTCTTTATCACAACTTTTCAAAAGTTGTCAACCATACCTAGCACCAAAATATCCAAATTCCTCTACTGAATTAGATCTCCATCATTTATGCCTGCTAAACCTCCCTCCTCAGTTCTGAGGTCCAAATTCCAGGACGTGGTTTGAATTGGTTTTGTCTATTCTCATGCTTTATTTGTATATATTCCACATAATAAGTGAGATCATAACCATTTATCTTTCTCTTTTGACTTACTTCACTTAGCATAATCCCTTTCAACTTTAGCGTATGTCTAACTTCTAATTGATTTTTGAATGATAGTCATATTCTGAACACATTACTTCGGTTTCATGGTACTGAACATCAGTGAGACGACGATAAAGTTATAATTATAAAATTGCAAATAAAGGGATACATTTTTCAGAGGATGGTTCTTTTTTTTATAGAACATTCTATACCTAACTCAAAAAGTATACATGATATTTTGGTGTAACTTTGTTTGGGAGGAATTAAATTGAGTGGCACTTGTCTCTCCTTTATTTATTGTGGAAATCAGTTTTTGAATAGTTAGCTGTTTTACTTTCATAAACCTCACTAATAGTCTTCGGCTAATGAAAAAGCCACCACAACCAGCACTGTGGTCTAGTGTCTTCACCAAAGACACCGGACATTCTTTGATAAGTGCAAGCTGAATCTTGGTTCATTTGTGCACTGGCTCTTCTTGATATGTGTTAGCCCTTAAAACTCCTTTGCTTCCCTTCTTCCAGCTGCTCCATCTTTCTTCTACTGTCTTTGTTCTTTTCCATTGGAAACATGACTGCGGGTCTTCTCCCCGTCCCTTCCTTTTTGGTGCTCGCTCACAGAGTGTGGTCCGTACTCCTTTTAGTTGGTCTGCTCACCAGGGGTTGCTGCACTGCTTGCTAGAGCCGCACTACTTTAGTTGCGGTGCTTTTACACCTTTTCGGTGGTGCTGGTAGTGCTTCGCTCTAGTTGTACTCTCTCTCTCTCTCTCTCTCACACACACACACACACACACACCTGTCTCTAGTAGCACTGTCCTCCCATTGTTCATCGATCTGCTTGAGCAGGCACCAGTAATGTCTCCATTGTGAGACTTGTTACTGTTTTTGGCATATCGAATACACCACGAGGAGCTTGCCAGGCTCTGCCATGCTTGCCGGCTCTCTGAGAAGGATGGAGGAATCGAACCCGGTTAGCCACATGCCCTACCCATTGTGCTATAGCCAAAAACTGCCTGAGGCTCTCAGGATCCCAGCAGTCGAGCTGCCAGGATTCTGTGCAGGGTATGTGGCACTGAGGGTTGAACTTGAGACCTTTAGCTCGTCAGCTGGCATTCTAAGCCAGAGAACCCCACCCCCACTCCGCAAACCAAGTCCGGAAGAAGTTATTTTGAAGAGCCTCGTGTATCACCTTCTGTGAAAGATGTGTAGTGATTACTTGACATAAGACATCAGCCGGCAATTCTTAGTGTTTCATCCAGAATTCTTCATATTAAAACGTGGTGTCATTTGTTACTCAGCTGTACTTTTAAAGCCTGTGTTCAAAGTTTCCTTACTGGCCCAAACTTTTACAGTGCTCTTAAAAATATGAATGACACGTATTCAAAAGTTTTGAATGACTGAATAAATGGTATTTACTTAAAAGGTTTTGATGATAAAATTAAAGCTTTTATTTGCTGTAAGCAAGTTCTTGATCACATGTGTCTTAAGCAAAACAACATATTACTATCTCCTTTTGATTTTGTGCTTGATTAAGAATATATATATATATAGAGAGAGAGAGAGAGAGTAATTATATGATGTTAGACAATGGGATGGCCTCCTTACTAAAAAGGAGTGTACAGTACTCACTATTTCACTGCTTTATTGAACAGAATTGCCAACAATGCTTAGGATTTATTGAAGCTTTCAACATAATTTATCTTTATTGCATTACTCAGAAACTATGATTAAGATGAGTTTTAAGTGGCACTTTAATATTATTTTTTAATCATGTAGTTAAGGAATATATTGACTGAGTTGTGGTTTTCAAACTGGCCATTCATGAATCACCTTCATGATTTTTTTTTAAATCTGAACACAATATATTTAAAAGTTTCTATTAAAGTAACTTTTTCAAAAGAAAAATTTATTACAATTTTTGTTTATTCAACTGGTTAGTTTCTTATAGTTTCTTAAGTTTCTTTAAGCTTTTAAGTTCAAAACATCTTTTTTTAATTAAAAAAAAATTGGGTGGGGGCAGTGACTCCTGACTCTGCATTCAGGTATCACTCCTGGCAGTTTCAAAGGAACATACAAAGAACGGGGACTTGAACCTTGGTCGAAGTATGCGGTCACGGTCATGGTCCTCCCGTTGTTCATCGATTTGCTCGAGCGGGCCCAGTAACATCTCCATTTTGAGACTTGTTGTTACTGTGTTTGGCATATCGAATATGTCGCGGGTAGCTTGCCAGACTTTTAAAACATTACTTTTAAACATTACTTCTTAAAAGTTAAAAAGTTTAAAAGTTTAGGGGCTGGAGAGATAGCACAGCGGGTAGGGCGTTTGCCTTGCATGTGGCCGACCCGGGTTCTATTCCCAGCATCCCATATGGTCCCCTGAGTACCACCAGGAGTAATTCCTGAGTGCAAAGTCAGGAATAGCCCCTGTGTATCGCCAAGTGTGACCCAAAAAAGCAAAATAAATAAATAAATAAATAAAATAAAGTTAACAGTGGTAGGAAATATATAGTATATATGTATGTGTATATTAATGTGTATGTCATACATAATATATATTATATATGTATATTATATATACATATTTAAATATTCCCATCTAAGTAAGTCAGCACTAAGTAAGTAAAAACTATCCACATTAAGAATAAATATATATATATATGTATGTTTGTGTATGAAACTATCCACGTTCCATTCAGAGGCTCTCAGCACACTGTAGCCAGGCATGAGCCAAACCTGGGGTGAAAGTAGCTGCAAGTGAACTGGGCCCATTGCTGCAAGTGACTCCTCAGGAGTGTCACCAATGATACAGAGTTTTCTGTTACAACTTGGCAAAGGTTTGTTCCCGCCCCGTGTGACCTGAGAGCCCAGCCTGCCATTCAGCTCACTGCGGTGCCACGTGGTGCCCACTGCCCTCTTCCTTTAATCCTGCCCCTGTTTCCCCTTGGGGTCCCCTTACTAAGGGAAGGTGACCTCAGCTTTGCAGGCCTGTAAGGGTGTATTCAGTAATGAATTTGTTCCTTTCTGGGAGACTTACTCTAAGCGGGATTCTGCATTGTGCTGGTGCATATGTAAAAAAGGTAACCCATTGAAATTCAAATGTAATGAGGAAGAAGTCTTGCTATTCAGCACTGCTGTTTGTCTCAACCCTCGTAGGCTCTTTGCAGCAAACAATGCGTCTTGCCTTCTTGCTTCTGAAATCACTGCATCTGCCTGGGCAGGATCCACATCTTTTCTCACCCTTTCCAGGACTGAAATACAGTTTGTTCCGGTTTTCCAGTGAAGAAAAAGAAAAAAAAATTTTTTTTTTAATGTGCTGACTGATTTAGATGGGAAGTCTTGGAAAAAACAAAGTATTCTTTTTAAAACATGCTAATGTGTCTCTCTATCACCTAGGAAACTATTATGGGACACCCAAACCTCCCAGCCATCCAGTCAGTGGGAAAGTGATCACTACGGATGCCTTGCACAGCCTCCAGTCTGGCTCCAAGCAGTCGACCCCAAAGCGAACCAAGTCCTACAATGATATGCAAAATGCTGGCATAGTCCACGCTGAGAACGAGGAGGATGACGTTCCTGAAATGAACAGTAGCTTTACAGGTAAAGACCACGGGACTGTCCTGCTGAGTGGACTGGGGGAAGGGCAAAGGGGGGCTGTTGCAGAGAGTTAAAAGCTTCTGTACTTAAGAGGAATTTAGCTCATTCAGAAGAGTCACCAGCATACAAACTAACCACTCATTGCTTGGGGAAGAGGTAGGCTTTTCCCTGCTTCTTTGCAAGAAAGTTTTCATTTCACCCTAGTACCTTAGAAAAAAAATTTTCTTAAAAATTTGGGGCCACCCTTGGAAGTGTTTCAGGGCTATTCCCAGTTTGGTGCTTTCATTGGGAGGGTTGGAGTGCTTGCAACAGCATTGGGGGACTGTGTGGTGAGACCCAGGCGTCAGTATGTGCATAGTAGTCCTAGCGAGCTCTTTCCTCTAACCTCTAATCCAATTTTCTGATTTGGAGGCCACACACAGTTGCTCAGGGCTTACTCCTGACTCAAAACTTAGGGATTACTCCTGGAAGGGCTTTGGTGATCATATGACATTTCGGTATTCAAATCAAGTCAGCTTCATGAAGCAAGGCAAGCACTCTTAAGCTGTGTCTTCTATCTCTGACTCTACCTGATTATCATAAAAAGAGGTGGGATAGAGGAAGATGTCTGCAGAAGGGAATTAAGAATGATCACTGTCACTGTCACTGTCCTTCGGTTGTTCATCATTTTGCTCGAGCGGGCCCAGTAACGTCGCCATTGTGAGACTTGTTACTGTGTTTGGCATATCGAATACGTCATGGGTAGCTTGCCAGGCTTTGCCATGTGGGCAAGATACTTTCGATAGCTTGCCGGGCTCTCCAAGAGGGATGGAGGAATCGTACCCGGGTCGGCTGTGTGCAAGGCAAACGCCCTACCTGCTGTGCTTTCTATAGGTCCAGTCCTGTGAGAAACGTTAGATAAAGAATATCTGGTTTATTATCCTAGCTTGGTTCTTGGTGGTTATCTTAATTATGAAATAATTTCTTCTTATTTGTAGAATGAATAGATATGATTTCTGATTTCCTTATTCCAACTCAAAGAATTTGATCTATGAAACCTTTTTTTTATTAAAATGATTTAGGTGATAGCTAATTATGTGTAGTTTGCAATATCTAGAGAAATTTATACATATGTCCTTATTGAAATTGTATCATTTTACCTATTTGAAACAACTTTATCATTCATAGTAGTTTTACCAATATAAAAGCATTAAAAAGTAATTATTTTCAATGATATATAATACTTTCACTTTTCAATTTTTTAAAAATAAAAATAGGAAGTCATGATTTAACTCAAAACATGTATGTAAGTACAACAATAATAGGGGTTGGAGATAATATGTAAGACATAGTTCTGAATATGTGTTTTGTTTTGTTAACAAATAGTAATTTCTTGCACATTGGAAATTGTAGAAGAATTTATGTATCTGCTTCTACATACAGTGTATAAATAAAAGTTTGGTTCACATAGACACCCACACAAACACACACACACACACACACACACACACACACACACACACAAAAGACATAGTTCTGTGAAGGTCCCCAAGAAGCATCTTTGTCCTCCATTTATTTTTCGGTTTGGTGGCCACACCAAGCATTAATCAGAGCATTTGGCTGTTTGTTCAAGGCTAACTCATTCCTCTGGTGTTTGGGGGACCATGTAGTGCCTGGGACTGAACCAGGATTTCAAAGCCATATTTTAGAAATTCTGACCCCTAGCAATATTCAAAAGCCATGAAGGAAAAGCTTCTGGTTTAAGGTCATCATTGCTAATATCAGTGCAATCAGTAATTCCTACACAAAAATAAAATCCAAGAGGCTCCTGATAGTTCTTTTCCAGTTCTGAGCTTAACACCAGGAAAGTTGGTAGAATACAAAGAGCTATAGCCTGAAATTTGCACATCATGGAGCATCCTCCCTCTCTAAAGAATACGCCAGTTACAACTATGACAGCTGACAACCTGCCACACAGTAGCTCACATACATTCATTTCCGATAATTGATACTCCCCAGTCTGAGATATCAAACTAACCATGTCAAAGCATTTTGCACTCGAACCAGCTATAAGTAGTAGTATAAGTAGCAGTACACTAGCCACTTGGAGCATAGAGTGACAGTAGCAGGATGAGGTCTTGGCTCCTGATTGGGCCAATCCTGTTGAAGACATCAGAATGATATTTAAATGCAGATACATTGTGGAACAACTATTAAAAAGTATATTTTCAGGACTGGGAGAGAACTCAAAAGGCTGTTGTGCATGCTTTGCATCTGAATGTCTAAATGGAATAGCTAGAATGACATGGGCGATGTCTGCAGGCACAGAGCTGGGCATCTAAATGTGAAAAACAGTCTGGGGAGGGGGCCGTCTTCCTTTCTGCTGCTGATGGTCATCATAGCAGCAATGCATGACCATGCCGAACATTCACCTTACAAGTGCATGGCTGTGGGATATTATGCATCCAGAAAGAGTCAGGAGGAGGGGAGGGAGAGAGTACAATTGATGTTCTTAGAAATTCGGAAAATTCCTAACAAACCACTACAATTAAAAGATACCTGCTTCATCCATTAATCACCTCCAAGAGACTTCTTAGCTGTACTTCTAGTCTTTTTTTTCCCCAAGGTGCCTTCCTATCGCTGAACATTAGTGGCTGATACTTCTTTTTCATTCGTAGACGAGGATAAAACATTGTTTTGGAATATCAAAACAATAATGACATAACAATAAGAGGTGATGTCTCTTTCCTGCTGAGTGACATGGACTTTGCTAGGATCCTAATATTAACTAGAGAGGGCATATACCTTGTCCAGTAATCACAAAGCCAGTGAGTTCTGAAGGTAAAGGTAAGGTAAAGGCCCTCCCGTTGATCGTCGATTTGCTCGAGCGGGCCCAGTAACGTCTCCATTGGAGACTTTGTTGTTACTGTGTCTGGCATATCGAATACTCTCAGTAGCTTGCCGGGCTCTCCGAGAGGGGCGGAGGAATCGAACTCGGGTCGGCCATGTTGGCCGCGTGTAAGGCGAACGCCCTACCCGCTGTGCTATCGCTCCAGCCCGGAAGCAGGTTAATAACGCAAATACGAAGCACCAAGTCGTGTTAAGGATCCTCATTCCCAGAATCTAGTACTGCCTCAATACACTTGCACAAAAGGCTGCTTTGGAATTTCTTAATTCCTTAAGATTCACTCACTGATCTTTTCATCTAAATAAAGCTGATTCCTTAAAAGGTAAGGTAAAGGTAAAGGCCCTCCCGTTGTTCATCGATTTGCTCGAGCGGGCCCAGTAACGTCTCCATTGGAGACCTTGTTGTTACTGTGTCTGGCATATCGAATACTCTCGGTAGCTTGCCGGGCTCTCCGAGAGGGGCGGAGGAATCGAACTCGGATCGGCCATGTTGGCCGCGTGTAAGGCGAACGCCCTACCGCTGTGCTATCGCTCCAGCCCATAAGTGAAAGATAAGAGTTCTGAAGCTGTCACTTAATTTAGAAAGTCCGATTCCAATACTGCAGTGCTAGTCCACTGTGCTCTCTGTGTTTTAAATCGTTTATTATGTGTAGCCTTTTAGGATCTATATGGCCTAGTTGAAGAAAGTGGTGATGAGTATGGTATTATAATGATGTATGTATGAAAAATATGATAAAAAGCATTTTAATTCTCAAAAAATTTAAAGAGATCTATATGGCCTCAAAGGTTCTGAACTGAGAGTGCCTACTTTAAATATCTTCTCCAGAAATGCGTTTTGACATGCATTTATATTACTAAAGTGCCTTCTTATAAAGTTGCCTTACATGTAATTTTTAAGAAATAACTTTGTATTGTTGGAATTTTTGAGAGATAAGCAGGCTTACTATAACTTTCCCTTTGCTGTGTCTGGTCACACTGAGAAATAGTACATATCACCCCACTAGAAGGTAAGAGATTCTAACTTCTCTCTCCATCCAGTCTATGTTCCAAAATCTGGCCTATGTGCACACTATAGATTTATTCCCAACCTTTTTAAAAGAGAATGACAACAATGCTTCTCAATGTTTGTTAAATTAAATGGGAGTTTTTATGAAACCAAAACATGTGTCATAGTCAAAACCATTATTAGAACTTGAATTGTTCAGTTTTCTTTGTATACATATTCTCTCACTAAAATTTTTTTATTAGGGTACTGTGATTTACAGATGTATTCAAAGTTGAGTTTCAGGCATACTATATTCTAACACCAGACCTACCAGCAGTTCCTCTGGTTCTCTCCAACTCCTCAGAATGCCTCATTGACCAGCACATTTTTAAGTTTGGTTGTTGTAGTTTGGATCTCATGTTTTCAACGTTGTTGGCTCTGTGACTTAAATACATACAAACACCACACTTCTCCATCTGTGTGCCTGTTCCCTGCTCCAGTTACTTCTTGTTCACCTCTTCATAGGTCTCCCCCCTATTTCTTTCCTTCCCTTTCTATATTCTAGGGTCAAGGGCAATCTAGTAATATCCCTTTACTACCTAGTATTCCCTCATCCTGTTATTCTGTATACCACAGTTATCCATCTTTGCTTGATTTCATGCTTTCTTACAGATACCTAATATTTCATTGCATATTCTGTACCTTCATAATACATCTGTTATTGGACATCTAGATTGATTCCACAGTCTACCTATTGTACTGAGTGCTACAATGAATAATGGTGTGCATATATCCGTTTGAATGAATGTTTTTGTGACTTGGGTGTAGATAATAATCCAGATGTGGCATTGCTGGGTTATTCAGTAGCTCAGTTCTTACTTTGAGAAATCTGCATACTGCTTTTCACAGGGATTGAATCAGACAACATTCCCACCAGCAGTGAATGACAGGCCTTTTACACCACATCCCAACCAACACAGATTGTTCCCAGGTTTTTTTTTTATATATATATATATATATATATATGTCATTCTCACTGGTGTGAGTATATCTCATTGTCATCTTGATTTGAATTTCCCTAAGTGACAATGACACTTCTTCATGTGCCTGTTGACCTTGAAAGAATTCTTCA